AGAGACGAGTTTATTTAAAATGTAATCTAGACTTAATTCATATGTAGAAATAAAATAATAATTTTATTCATAATTTTACGAACATACCTGCACCTGTTTTTTTTTAATATGTTTATAAATACCTACACACAATTTCGGTCTGTATAAGGGGCTAACACCGACCCTGGCTAATACACAACACACAATTGCACCTGCAGGTAAATAGTACCGGCCGGGGAAGAATTAATGTGAGCGTTTTTAATACTAATTAGGGTCCATGATAACCAAATAATAATTGAAATGTTGCAAGTAGAAAGTTTTTATCGCAAGATCGATCAGTCCGCAAGAAAGTTCGCCAGGTTCAAGTTGTATTTGTGATTCGTGCTCTGTGAAATATGTTTAAATATTTGTGTTGTGTTGTGATGTTTATAGTTTTTTATCTAGTAAGTACAAAAGACTTGTGTGTTTTATCTTTCACTATTTAAAATAATGGCATACTTATCTACAAAATTTCATATAAAATTATTTATAATAAAACTATTAAAACGCTGAATAAGGGATAAAGAAATTATAACTATGGTGTAATCTACATTATTTTAAACTAATTATATTATTATAATCGGCCAAAAATGTATTTTTCTTGTATAAGTAGGTACTGATATTCCTCAATACCATTGTAAACTTCTGACTTTTTGAATTTGTAATATGCTTTTTGTACACTTTTATCTTATTACTTTCGTAAATAAGTTGGATAGTAATTGATAGAATTTACACAAAGAAAACGAAATATTTATTTGAATTTAAAGTATCAAAATTATACTTTAGGTTTATATTTTTGATTATTCTATTATTTTCTGGATTTTTAATAAGTTATATACACCATTGATTGTCTTCAAACACAGTAAAATTTTGAAATTTTATCTTCATATCAATAAGCAAATGTTTTAATTCATAAACAATCTTGCACTGCTGCACATAAAGCTATTATAATTCTACTTATTATATATACTATATTATATTATATATTATTATAATTCTACTTATGAACATTAAAGACAACACAACTTTGCTTTCGAGTGACCCATGCAATTGTATTCTATAAATACTAGATATTTAACTCTCATGCAAAATTTTAAGAATTTTTTTTTTAGACAAATTAGGTATTTTATTGCGATATATTAAAAATTTCCATTAAAAAATAGTATAGTAAGTGTAAAATCATAATTTTTTTTTCTTAAAACCTAAAAAATACTCCGACCACTCCAGTGGTCACTATGCACTTGCGGAATCGTCTGGGAAGCATCTGGGACTGGTGACATCTTCGGGCATTTGGTATATCAGTTAGTTGTTGCCACAATTTCTTTGTCCAATTTCTGGAGGTGCAAGATGATTCGGTTTCTTCTTCTTCAAAATGGGAGGTGGTATACCAGACGAAGGTCTACCTCGTTTATTTTCTTTCTGCGTTTCCAAATTTATTAATGCTCCGGCAATACTTGCTTTAAATTCAAGCATATTTTTTTTGGATTTCCGTTTTTGTTGTACAAAATCCATGCATTTACAACAAGAACATCCACAAAATGCATAAAAACTCTTATGTACCAGAATTTGTTTCTTCTCCTTAGAGGACATAGGGCCCACAACTGGTCCATCAGGTCTACTTCTCCCATGTTTTTGTTATAAAACTGAATAGAAAATAGTTTGTTCACCTCTATAGTAGTCTTAGTAGATTTACACCAACGTTTTGTTTTATTCTGAGATTCTATTTCAGCACAATTGGAAACAATGTAAATAGTCTTGTTGTCCAGCCATTTAGAAACAATTATATTGCCATCTTCAGTACATGCAACGGATGAAGTTCCCCTACCCTCTTGTTTTACTTGTTTATCTATTTTCATAACAGAATTACAATTTTGTAGTCGATTCAATCGGAGAGTTCCTGTCACCCATATACCTCTTTTATGCAGTTCTTCAATAGGGGAAGTGAGCAAAATCATCAAAAAATACTTTATAATTGATTCTCTCTAAGTCGTCAGTTAGACCCAAAACTACATCAGCGCACGGTCCATTACAAGTTTACTAATTTGGCTTCTGTCTCCCGAACCTCCTTGGTAAACCTCAAAACAATACATATATCCACTAATTCTAGCTCTTACCCAAACTTTGAATCCCCACTTGTTAGGTTTTTTTGGTAAGTACTTATTGCTTTATAAATAACTTTCCTTTTAGTGGAATAATTTGCTCTTCAAAATTGGCATTCCTCTGGAACTGTGGTACCTAAGAAGTTTTTCTGAATTTTATCCAAAAATGGTCTGATTTTTTGCAATTTGTCCGTGTTATTTTGATTTAAATTATCATTATTTGCGAAATGTAAAAACTTCAAAATATATTCAAATCTATTAACAGACATAGCATTTTCAATAAGGTCCATCCTCAGGCAATTATCACTTGACCAGTAAAGACGTATTCTGGGATATCTGATATACGCCATCACTAAATTTATGCTCAAGAAAGCATATAACTCATATTTTGTAAAACCAAAATTTAATTTATTGTTTTGGCCAGCATATAAATTGGTCTGAAAGACGATATCATCCTTTATGTCTGCGGTGAACAGTGATAAAAAATAATCAATGAGATTGTTTCCTTGAACATGAATATTTTCTGTTCCTCTAAACTGTGGCAAAGTTGCTGGCCCATACCGGCTGTTATTATTGCATTATTTCCAGTCTTTTTTCTCGTCTTTTTTGTGTTTTTCTCTTGATTTTTATGTTTTGATGAAAATGTCAAAATACGCTGAGCTATTGGAATGTCATTTTCACTGTTTTCTGGCTGTATTTCTTCTAAGTCACTTTCAACAATTTGCTCTTCAGCCGTTACATGTTTAAGCGAATACATATCTTCGTCATTGTAATTAGATTCCAAATCGGAACCTTCTGGTAAATCATAAATATTGTCATCATTGTCAATAATTTTAAATGCTTCATTTTCTGGCAAACATAAAGATGCTTCATTCCTATTTTATATTATCCTATTATCCTATTATCCTATATTATCCTATTATCATATATATTTATATTTTCTATATTAATGAACTACCACATGTAATGCCTGATGCATTTGTATCAGTTTATGCGGATGACTCAACAATGCTATATCGCGATAAAGACATAAATTTTTTACAAGATAAAATAACAAACTCTCTGAAGACGTTCTCTGATTGGTCCAGTAATCAGTCGCTCATGTTCAATGTTCAGAAAACTAAATTTTTATCATTTACATCACGTTCAAATTCAACCAAACCTGATTTAAGTATTTCCATCAATGGTGAGGATATTTTGAGTTGTAGTGATGTGAAGTTTTTAGGAGTGACTTTCGACTCTCATTTATCTTTTAAGACTCATTGTTGGAATGTATGTAAAAAACTCAATTCTAAATGTTATCAATTGAGAAATTTGGGTAGAATACTTAGTCTGCAACACCTTCGTCTTTTTTATTTTGCTGAGGTACAATCGACAATAAGTTACGGTATAACTGTCTGGGGTGGTTCTTCTAGTGTAAAGGACGTTTTCAAGGCCCAAAAACGTATTGTCAGATGTATAGCAGGTGTTCCGTATGGTTGGTCTTGTAAAAACCTATTTAGAGATTTGAATATATTAACAGTGTATGGAATTTACATTTTGGAATTATTGATACTAATTCATAAAAATAAAAGAACTTTTTTATGTAACAGTGATATTCACTCACACAACACACGAAATAAGAGACAGTTTGTAGTACCCTATCGACATTTAGAAATAAGCAGGAAGTCATCTACTATCTGTGGTTTACAACTGTATAATCAACTTCCTCAAGATTTTAAAAACATTAATTCAACTACAGCTTTTAAAAACCAAGTCAAAGAGTACCTAGTGACCATGTGTCCTTATACATTAGGTGAATATTACGAGGGTGTATCTGTGAATGCCTAAGCTGCAACATAACCAAATTTATTAATATTTTAATTATTATATGTCTATATTGTACGTTTTTTAAGTATTTTAATGTCTTAAATATTTTTAATGTATTGTTTTCATTTTTTGTAATATTTAATATTTACAATTTTAGTTTTGACGTGCTGTAAACCTAGTTGTAACTTACAGTCAAATAAACTATCTATCTATCTATCTATTGTCGTCTTCATCGGCAAAAAGTACTTTCTGAAATAGAATAAAATTTCCCATTGAAGAAGTAATATGTTAATAAATAAAATTTATTTAGTTCCACTAAAATAATATACGTAAGTACATAGAAAAATGCCCTTGAAAATCCCTAAATAAATAATAAATCTTTGACAAGAAAATATCAAAAAATGTGTGAACGAGAAACCTACTACCCTTCTGAAAATTATACTCATAAAACATACCACAAGAGTGGAATTATAAGTTACATATTGCATGATGTCCACTCTACTGGACATGACTTGAAGATGATATTTTCAGTGAGTTTTTCAATTATTTTGAAATTATAACAAAGGCTAATTGTGTACAATACATAATTCTTTAAGAAAAATATTTTCTTACCTTTTTTGCTTTTCCATAGATACTACACGCACTTATTTCAAGCAATTCAGATACTAACATATACAAACTTTGACTTTGTACTTGATTAGAGTCTACTGAAAGGGATTTCAGGCATTTTACACACGTTTCATAGAATTAAAATATATTTTTTGGAGTTAAAAAAATCTGTCCACTGGAGTGGACTCAATGCATGAGAGGATTAGAATTGTTGTGTTCTTATAATATATTGTTCCACATATTTATGACATTGTATTCTTTTCCCATTAACTTATTATTCGTCTTTCTGAATTTATCTTGATTATTTTCTTTTGCAATGTGTTCTTAATACGAAACAAAATCAGTCTTTGTTACTGTTATTATATTATTTCCGTGCATCCAAGATTACTCTATATAAATAAACAAAAAATACCTAACTCTTTTGGTTATGTTGAGCAACGTGATTCTCCAAAAAAACTATTGTCATATTATTATATTTTTTCTAATATTAGTATAAATTTATAAATACTAAAATTAATTTGTTTGCTTCAGGTATCTTGTAAAATGGCAAAACCAGTTGATAGTATTATTGAGGTCACAGCATCAAACGAAACCAGTAAAAGTAAGTGTGATATAAGTAGTAAAAACCAATAGTGATGAGAGTGAGTGTTTTTTTTACCATTCTCTGTCACGGTTAACTAACCAGGCTTGATCCTATTTTTGCTTTAATCGCTTCGAAATATTAGAAATGATAATTTCACTATGACACTTCAAAAAGAGGGCTTTATTTTTTTTATTAAACAATTTGTGACATTTTTTTTCTCATTGTTATACACTATACACTGGGCCAAAATTAACCGGCCACCTTTAAAATGGATAATTTTTGATTTCTTATATCTCCTAAACCGGCTGTCCGATTTAAGAGATTTTTTTAATATGTTATAGCCTTATTCCTTGACAATATCTTTATAATAATATTGTTGCTAAAGAGGTAAATTTTCATTGTATACCGGGTGTACGAATCAAACTGTATTTTTTTCTTAAAGTTTGCTTCCCCCTGTGAAATATTCTAGTATTTGTAGAATACTGAAATTAAATCGTACCTATAGCCTTATCCTTTCTCAACATTTTGTTTTTTGATTAAGTCGCTTATGTTGGAAAATACCAAAGTTAGGTACTTTAACAACTAGACATGTTTTTTATCAATTTTTATCTCCGCAGAAGAGAAAAAATAATCTTTTTGAAAAAATGTCATTTTTTACAGTAAAAATCCAATGAATAAAATCTTAATACAAATTCAAATTAACAATTTTTTTTATAAATCAAAGTCTAATTGAAAAAAAAAATTGGGTATTAATAATGGGTGTTGCCGCCTCTAGCCCTTAGGACTTCTTGGAGCCGGTTTGGCAATCCATTCGTGATAACCTGGATATTAAATTGGGGATTATTATGCCACTCCTCTACCGCAGCTGTCTTCAGCTTTTTAAAGGTTGCAGGGGCTGGTACTCTGCTCTTACCCGTCTTTTGAGGTTGTCCCAGGTATGCTCAATTGGGTTAAGATCGGGATTGTGTGCTGGCCATGGTAGAACTTGAATCCCGACCTCATTAAGGTACTCACGGGTAGATCTTGCTGTATGGCAACGTGCATTAGTCTGAAGTTATCACCAATAAATGGTCCAAATCACCAAATCACCAAAAGGCATGACATTGTCTTGGAGAACTTCTTGCACGTATACTTGGGCATTCATACTGCATCTACCGAACACAAAAAGATCAGTACGCGCTTCGTAAGAAATGCCTCCCCAAATAATTATTGACCCTCCTCGGTAAGCCACTGTTTCTGGTATAGCGCATGCAGCAAACCTTTCATTTTGACGCCTATAGATACGTTGGCGTCCATCTGGACCTTTTATACTGTTCTCATCTGAGAACAGTATATTGTTCCATTCCGCCATAGTCCAGTTAGCATATTCTCGCGCAAAATGAAGTCTAGCCCTACGGTATTGTGGGAGCAGTTGTGGGTGGGGTGCGAGCTGGACGAAAAGCTCTTAAGTTTATTTCTGACAGTCTTCTTCTAATCGTTTGTCTACTCACACTAACGTTTCTCACCTCAAGAAGAGATCTACGAGCTTCAGAAGCAGTGCAAAAGCGATTTCTTAATACTTTAGTGACAATGAAGCGGTCATCTCGAACTGAAGTGCATCTTTTTCTGGCCTGCGGTTGTACAATCCTATCTCCAAATCGTCCTACAAATCGTCTGATGGCATCTTCGTAGTTCTGGATATATCGAGTATACCAGCGATATGACGTTGACTGTAACCAGCATCAACTAAAGCCACTGTCCTAGAAGCATCAGTTGGAACAAGTAGAATTTTTAAAATTACAAGTAATAAATAAGTACTAAAATTTTAACTTAACAATATTCGCTCACAATGATATAAAATTACATTTTAATTGTTAATTTTACTTACAAATTTAATTGTAATTACAAATTGTTCAAGAATCGTTATTAACACGGAAACAGATTTGCATCAATGTCGTACAACGACTATATGTCAAAAATCCTTCGATGACACACATTTAGGAAACAAACTGTCACAGGTAATGTAAACAAAACAATAACAAAGGTGGTGGAGTTAATTTTGCTGGTGAGTTAAATGGTCTGTATTGATAAAAAACATGGCTAATTGTTGAACTACCTAACTTTTGTATTATCCAACATAAGCGAATGAATCAAACAACAAAATGTTGAGAAAACATGAGGCTATAGTTAGGTTTTAATTTCAATATTTTATAAACGCTAGAATATTCCACAGGGGGTGCAAACTTTAAGAAAAAAACACAGTTTAATTCTTACACCCGGTATACAAAGAAAATTTACCTGTTTAGCAACCATATTATTACAACGATATTGTCAAGAAATAAGGCTATAACATATTAAAAAATCACTTAAATCGGACAATAGGTTTAGGAGATATAAGACATCAAAAATTACCCATTTTTAAGGTGGCGGGATAATTTTGGCCCAGAGTGTATCTTTGCAGCTATGCATTTTAGAAAAATTTTGTAAAGACATAGTTTCTTCCCCCAATTTTCTACCCCTTGTATTAATGCCCTCTGTGGTAGGCAAAATATCTTCGTTACAATCTCCATATTTGTTTTTATGTAACGTAGAAGTCGCTTTCCATCCTTTTTGTAAATTGTTTACAGTGTTCATTTTTTGTTCTTCTTACGAACTGCTTTGTTTCATTTCGTATTCTTCTATAGTTGTCTCGGGATTCTGGGGTATTTGATGTTTCTCTTTACATTTCTCTTTTATTTCTTTTCTGCACCATGGTGTATTGTTGTTTCTTTCGTTCAGTATAACTTTGCGTTTTCCTAGAGCTTTTGTTGCTGCTTCTTTAATGTTGTTTTTAATTTTCTCCCAGCTTGCATTTATATCTTTGATGTCGGCTATTTTTTTCAGCTGTTTCTTCTGTGCTAGCCTCCTTTGGTACATTTCTCTTGTATAGTCGTTCCACAGAGATTCTAGATTGAATTTTTTCTCGGTGATTTCCTATAAAAAATGTTTTGGTGTTATTTTCATTCTTATTTTTGCCATTACTAGTTTGTGTTTATTCCCTGCGTCTGCTAAGTTTGATGTTCGGATAACTAGAATCTGCTTTGGGAGGATTTTTCTATTAGTGACTATAAAATCAATCATAGATTTGTGCCCTCTGGAGTTTTCCAAGGTATATGTATACTGGAGCTTATGGTCGAAAAATGTATTATTGATTCTCAGTTCACTAAAAGCACAGAGATTAGCCAGGAGTTCTGCATTTGCGTTGACATGGTTTTCATTAAATCTTTGTTTTACTCCTGAAACTAGTTCATTTCCGATTCGTGCATTAAAGTCACATACAACAATTGAGGGTTCTTCATGATGTATTTCATCCAGGGTGTGTGATGACACGTGGTCGGGTTTCTACGATAGGTTATGGAGAGTGGAAATTAGGTTACAATGAAACACCTTTGAAATGACAAAATTAAAATAAATTTCTTTAACAAATTTTTAAATAAACATTTGTTCCATACATCCTTTACCCCCTTTTTTTTATATTAAAATTACTTACAAATCTAATCTATCAGGTTTTTTAAAAATTCGACCTGAGGAGGTTTGTGGAGGTAAGTTTATTGGAGAGTGATGATCAGAATTATTATCAGAGACACTTTCAAGATTTTGTGACTCACTAGTTTCAGATTCATTATCTGTATGTTCATCATCAGAAGTTGCAGGAATGTGAACTAAAAATTGTCTATTTCTTGCAATTTCTGACCCAGAATCTCTTAATTTAATCGAGTAGGTTTTATCTCTTAATTTATGTGTGATAAGACCTTCTGTCAATTTGCTTTTATCTTTAACATAGACTTTTTCATTAGTTTTAAGCGGTTTTAAATTTATTGTACCTCTATCATAATAAGCTTTTTGAATGTTCTGTCTTTTCTGAAAATTACTGATCACTATTTTAGCATTACATAATTTTGGTTTTAGAATTTTGTCAGTAGTGGGAATCTGAGTTTTAAGTACTCGTGACATTAAAAGTTGAGCTGGTGATGGTAAATTTGAATCAATTGGTGTATTTCTAAGTTGTAGCAATGTTAAGTACGTATCTTTACCATCTTTATGAGATTTTCTTAACGCTTTTTTGTAGGTTTGAATATATCTTTCACTTAGACCATTAGATCTATGATTTTCTGGGCTTGACTTTATACTTTTAAATTCCCATTCTTGGCAAAATTTAACAAATTCGTTGGCTATATATTGTGGTCCACCATCAGAGTAAAAGATTTTTGGTATTCCATGACGAGCAAATATTGATTTTAAATGTGTAACTACAGTTGAACTGGTTGTATCTTTCAACAGACAAATTTCTGGATATTTACTATAATAATCTACCACTATTAAATAACTTTTTTGACCTATGTGAAATATATCAGAGCCAACTTCCTCCCATGGGAGTTTTGGGATATTGTGTGGAGTTAAAGGTTCTCTTTTTGCATTTTCAAATTGTGGGCAAATTGGGCAACCTTTAACTTCATTCTCAATTTCAACTGTCATGGAAGGCCAATATAATAATTGTCTTGCTAACATTTTACATTTATTTATTCCTTGATGACCATAGTGAATTCTTTTCAACATTTCTTTCCTCATTGTATGAGGAATTATAATTTGACTATTCCTCATCAGCAAACCATCAAAGAAGGTTATTTCATCTTTAATCTTAAAAAATACTTTTAAATCTTTATGTACATTATTTATTTGTTTTGGCCAACCTTTTTTTATGAAAGTCTTTAGATCAATTAAAGTTTTGTCTTTGTTAGTCTCTTCTTTGAGTTTTTGCAGTTGATTATTTGAAACATTGATGTTTAATCTTACTAAACAAATTTGTGATTCAAGTTCAATATCTAAATCATTCTTTATTACAGGCAATTCCGAGCAACATCTCGATAGCGTATCAGCTATGTATAATTCTTTTCCTTTTTTATACATCAGATTATAATCGTACCTCTGCAATTTAAATAACATTCTTTGAAGTCGTGGTGGCGCATTCATTAAAGGTTTCTTTACTATGGATATCAATG